TTTTAACCATTCGGGGTATATTTAACCCTCCAGGGTGGATGAGGAGCAAAGCAAAAATCCATAAACTGCAACGAAAATTCAGGAAAATGCAAGTATGACTGATAAAACAGGAAGAAGAGGAATGATCCGAACACCGTCTTGCCTGTTTTCTACCAACGCATTACAGATTTGTTGTTAACTGAAGCTGCATATATATTCTCAAAGCTTTGCTTTAGTGTGACGTTTTAAAAACAACGTTTTCTTGGAACCACGTGGATTCCTCCCCCGAAACCGCATTTCCCAAGATCCCACAGTTGGTCACTTCACTCCCCGATCAATGACCGGACCGTGCTAGCAAAATTGTGCTACCAACAACTCTCTGTGTGGAAGTTGTAACTACAGAGACGAGAACCAAAAAGTTCGAAATCAAGTAACAAAAAATAGAAAAAGAAAGGAAAACGTGACATTGCGCTGCCAGAGAGGTGGTGGGAAGTCCAGATTCCTCGGCTCCCTGGAGAACACATTCGACTAAAACCTGACACCACATTTCAAAGGATCCCACAGTGTCTTGCGGTTGGTCATTCCTTGACGGCTGGAGGTTTCAGTCCAACTCAAACAGCCTTCCTGTTCCAAGAACATGTGGACTGGCCTTTCTGCTTACCAAAAATAATCCTTGCTTCACATCTAATGCCATAAATCATTGGGGAACTCAGTACAACTCGGTCAACACAACTTTCTACTGCTAGAGAAACGACCAGGTGGTTCACTGATGACCTGTGAAGCCAATTCAATGTGGAGTAAAAGACAATTGGCATGTTGAACAATAAGCCAATGTTTTCAACCAAAGGTTTGAGAAACTGGACGGTGTTGAAGTCAAACCACCCAAACCAAGGCCGGGTTGAGACCAAAGCCAAGAAAGGGCGATGAATCGTTCATCGATTCATCTAATAGTTGGTTTGCTTAAGAGTCAGTTTCTGGAAAATCTGAATTTTTCTTCACCAATGCGCTCATTGGGTTCCCATGTTCAGTCATGTGATCACACCCGAAGCCGCCATCTTGTTTTACAGCTTCTGTTCATTTGGACTTTGGATTCAGGTCAAGTCTGTGATGGAGTATTAGAGCCATGCTAAGATTGTGTTTTTAATAAAAGACAATCAGAATATTAGCAGAATGAAGTAGTGATTTTATGTGATCAGCATAAAAATTATTATTTTTTGTCATTTTAAGATGATTTTCTGGTAAAATTGCATCTTTTTAATTTGATATTTTTAATCAATATTCTGACTTTATTCTTGGCTCTAACACTCAATCATACAAGTAACAGAAGAGATGATTGGAATAAGAAAACACATTTCCTTTTATTTCTATTTAATAAAAGAGAGTGAGCAAAATTTAATAATTGATAAAAATTGGATCTCATATGAAAAAAAAAATATTTTAGGGAAGCGAGACAAAAATTTATGTTCTGCAGAACTATTACAGCTCAACAATGAACAGTATTTGCAGTAATAATAATAATTATCAAAAATAATGAGATTATGTCAAACAAATTGACATATTTGCTCCAAATCTTGGTTTTATACGACTAAATTAAGTATTTGTGCACCATCAGAATGTCATGACTAAAACAGAACAAAGTGATCCGCAGTAAAAGTAGCTTCCCATAAAGTCACATTTATATGTAGCCCTGTTGTTCGGAGTGTTTACATATCCAAATGCTGCTTTTTGTGTTATGAGGTTGAACGGCTGTGAGTCAAATGAAAGAACAAGGCTTTGGTTTTCCAACCGGTTCAGCAGAAACATGGACGCCTCGTCAGACACGCTAATCTCGGCGTTCGCATCCAAATGTTGATGGAAACGCACCGCAGAGTTTGGAAGTTGTGGTTGGAGGTCAGAGGACGAGTTTCGGAGCCGTGGGAAAACGAGCGGCTCCATTTGTTTAACGCCTCTTTGAGGGGAACTGGGGAAAAAAGAATAATGGGCAAAAAAACTAAAAACACCACGAATGATTAATCAAATTAATCAATTATTCAATAATTGTGAACTAATTTAGGAGTAAATTAGTTCTTAACTGAATATAGACTCAAATAAGGCTTCTAGTTGATTATTTAAATAATCAACTAATTTAGTAATTAATTAATCGTTAGCTAAAGCAAACAAACTCTAAACAAAACCCCATATACAAATAACATATTCAAAGCCGTAATTAATGCAAAGCTACACTAAAAATCATACATTTTGCATTTAGGATAAAAACACCTTCATCTGTAAATGTGTGGTTTAGCGTTAGCTTCATTCGGTTCAAATTCACTAAAGGAATTATAGTTTTTTTGCATTTTTGGGACATAAAATGTTCTTATTTTTTAAAAGAAGCTTTCATTATTTGCATATTTTAATGCATTTCTAATATTGTCTAAAATGGCCTTAGTAGTTAAATAAAAACTCTGTAGAATGTTTCATTCTTTATATTCGATTAATTGATTAATCGTTAACTGAAGTACAGACGCATAAAGGTTATATGGTAAAAAAAAGAATGTGATTATTTGTCTTTTAATGCATTTCTAAAATAATGTAAAAAGATTTGCATGGTTAAATAAAAAAACTTTAGAATCACATTTTTCAAATTAATTGATTAATCGATGCCACAATTAAGACTTTATAAGTGAAACAAATCGGCCAATCCTCCAAAAACAGGAACCTAAATGAATCAACAGAGCAAAACTCTGGAAAAAGTGACAAAAATCTGGTTGCATCTTCGTTCTCCCGTTATAACCAGCAGTTAGAGGGAAGAGAAACTTCAAAAACAAACCCTGCCGCCTCCACGACTCTCTGCAGCCACGTCTATCATTCCAAGAGGCTCTGCCAGCTTCCATTAAACCGGCAGGAAATCCAGGCACTGTGCTAAGAGGAAGTCAATCCTGGTCTGTTTAACCCAAAAACTCTGAGCGATTTTATGCAAATGGAGGAGTGACGTGGAACGAGAAGCTGCTCTTGACCTACATACAGAAGCTCCAACTCCGTTTTCCTCCAAACGGTCCAATGGAAACGCCAGGAATCAGGCTGGGAGGAAGCAGAGGAGTCAGGTTTCTGATGGGAATGGGGTTTAAGCCAAGCTGCTCGTTTAAAAGAGTTTTATATGTTCAAGGGGGAAAAAAAATCCTCAATACCAGAATTCTGAGGTGCGGCTCTGGTTTTACACAGAGAGAGAAAAACCTCAGAAAGAATCCGGGCCGGGCCCAAACCTCCGGGCTGCTCCGAGACGAGCAAAAACACGACCAGGACGAGCAGAAAGATGCTGCAGCTGCTGCTGCAGCTTCTGAAGCATCTTCAGCTGCAGCAGCTGAGAGACCAGACAGAAGGTCAAAGTGCGAGAGGCTGAAACAGAATCACAGGCTGCAGAAACACGTTTAAAGGTTCTGATCATCAAATTATTAATTATTAAATTATTTAAAAAATTTAATCTGAAAATTTTTTTAAAAAGGTTTTGTTAATTGGCAGCATTCAGATCTTTTAGACTTTAAAACCTGATAGAACCAAAAACTGAAATGAACTGCAAAGGTTTAAAAGTTTATAGAAACACGGTGGTGGCAGCATCATGCTGTGGTTTCTGAGCAGGAACAGGAAATATGTTCCTGCTCAAAGGAAAACAGATGGAGGAAAATCCAGGAGAGTATATGCGACTTTAAACGCCTCACAGTTTCAGGTTGAACGTGAAAACATTGACGAGAGGATGAGGTTTGTGCTGCAACCGCAGCATCAAAAAGCATCACAGACAGGAAATGAAGCTTCACATGCAGTCCTCAATCCGACATCAGCCCTGCAGCGGCTCGCAAAATTAATTAGCAACACTCCCTGATACTTAATTAATCCCAAAAGCACGTGAGTCAGAAACGATTAGCCTGGAGCAGGGAGGAATCAGAGCTGTGATTTTTAAAGAAAAACCTAAATATGATTCATGATTTAATTATATATAAAAATGCCTCAGGAGTAAACATGCTGCTCTATAGGAAGCAGGACATGTAGATGAGATCGGTCAGTTAACGGAGCCACCTGAAACAGCAACACACACACACACACACACACACACACACACACACACACACACGCAGACGCACACACGCACACACACACACACACAGACGCACACACACACACTCACACACACACAGCAAACAAAAACAATGAAACAAAAAGAGTAGAAAAGCACAGCGAGTTGCTCCAAACGGCTGTGTAAACACACACCGCTAATCCACTTAACATAAGAGCCGCAGCAAACCCAGAGATTGGACGCAAGAGATTTAGCTCACACACACACACACACACACACACACACACACACACACACACACACACACACACACTGCACAGCTTGGCTGGACAGACAGGTGCAGCACTCCTGTGTGACGTCACACTTCCTAGTTTAGATCAGAGGAAGATCCAGACTAGAATAGAAATACTTTCTTATTCTGCAAAGACTTAAGAAAATCCACTGATTTCCTGTGTTTCTTCAAGGTTTGATCTGTACGGAAGACCATCAGTGCCAATGAGACAAAAAAAAAAGGAATTCTGGCTTTAATTTCTTAATGTTATGATGTTTTTTTCTCATAGTTTGGACTTTTCTTTACATTTCTGAAAAAGTCTTAATTCTGAGGAGAAAAGTCAAAATTCTTTATTTGATTTGAAAAAGTAAAAATTAAAATGGTCAGAAAAAAGTTGGGTTCTTTTTCCAGGAAGTCCTGCAATATTTTGGGAAGAAAAATAATATGTTTATTTTTAAAAGTCTAAAAATTTGAGAAAAAAAGCAGAACCTTTTTGATTCTTTGGAAGATTTACAAAAGTCCAGAAGTTTTGATTTAATTAAAACAATTCTATTTATTTGTCAATGTTTTATCCTCAAAAATTAATCTAAACATTTCTGAGATTTTTGGAAGAAATGTACTCCTCTTTTCTCTATCCACACATAAATATTGATGATGTTTCTGTTTTGAGAATATTTTCAGAACCAGCAGAGTTCCTCTCACCTTCTTGCCCACAGAGCCGGTCTTGGACAGGCAGGACTTGGCCAGGCTCAGGTACCCTCCGATGACCTGGATCTCCTCCACAGCAGGGTAGCGTTTCTTCAGCAGGCTGCCCAGCTGGGCGTGGGGCTGCGGGGGCGTGGACCCCGGCGGGGCCTGGGCCGGAGCCTCCTGCTGGGGCTCCGGTGGGCTCTTCTGGGGGTCCGCCGATCGTTTAGGCACCACGGTGAAGGTGTTGCCCTTTTTCCTCTGCACCATGGGGCTGGGGACCGGGACACGCTGCGGGGACTCCACCTCAATGTCGTCAATGTTTGTGACCGGCAGTTTGTCCACGGGGGTTGCTTCGGAGTCGGAGAGACTGGTGAGGCTGGTGAGGTCAGGACTGGTGGAGAGGAAGGAGAAGGAGGTGCTTCTGGTTCCTTCTTCTCCTGAACTTTCTCTTCTTTCTTCTTCGTTGGGGAGCGGGGGGGTTGGCACTCCTGGCAAGGGCGAGGACTTGGTCGGACTTGGTGGTCTGGGGCTGGTGGCCGCAGGCGAGGCTTGCAAGTTTCTCTTGGGACCACCGTGAAGGAGTTCTTGGACTGCAGACGGAGGTTTGCGAGGGCCCGAGCCTGGGTGTCCCCCTCTGGGATCTGGTCGATGTCCGGCTTCGGAGAGGGACGGATCTCAAACTCGGACGTCGCACGCAAGACCTTCGAAGAGATGGGCAGTGAGGAGGACTCGGCACGGGCACGGCGGGTCTCCGGAGAACATGGCACCTTGGGCTTGGGGGACACCTCCACGGCCTCCCAGTCGCGCTCCCTGGTGGGCTTGCTTTGCCCTCTGTCTGGCTCGTCTTTGGGGACGACGCCCCCTTCAAACCTCTGCCGGAAGGACGACACAGGCTGGATCCCGGGTGGAGCTCCGGCTGTGGCTTTGCTTTGGAAGTCCAAGGAGTCTGAAAGACGGGTGATGTTGGCTGGCTGCTGACGCTCGGACTTGGCCTGGGCTTTGGCACCAGATCTGGCTGTGGCTTGGCCCAATGTCTTGGCCTGGCACTGGCACTACAATCCAGGTCTAGAAGGTTCTCCGTGCTGTGCGACTTCTTCTGAAGCTTCCCGTAGTTGCAGTCGAACTTCTGGAGGATCCGGCTGACCCGGCCTTGGCTCTCCCCGGCGTCTCTGGGGCCATCCGGGTCAGGGCGGCCCAGGGTGCTGAGGTTCTCCTCACTCCGGCTCAGCGTGGTGTCGTAGATGACCACCTCCTTGGCTCTGATCTCCGTCACGGCGCTGCCTCTCCGGTCCAGAAGGTCGTTCAGTGAGCTGTAGGTGTCCACCCCGTTCTGCTGCCAGCCTTTACTCTCTCCGGCCTCCGGGAAGTAGTCCGGATCCGACTCTATGATGATGATGTTGTCGGCCCGGATGGTTCGGATCCCGGGGACGCTCCCGTACAGCTCCAGGATGTGCTGGACCGGGCGGGCGGCGTTCTCCCGGTCCTGCCGCTTCCGGCGCTCCTTCTCCAGCTTGATGAACGGGTTCTCCTCCAGCGGACCCAGACTCTCCTGGAGCACCAGGCTCTCCCTCGGCGCCGTCCTCTCGGCCGCCGCTCGGGGCTCTTTGTTGTTGGCGAAATGTTGGCTGGCCGTGGTGATGGTGTAGTTCCGGCCGGACGCGCCGCTCCTCGCGCCACCACCGCCGTTACCGTTCACGTTCCCCGCTACATCCCCGTTGACGTGATGCGACCCCGCGGCGCCGCCGGGGCTCGGCTCCGGGGCCGGGCTGCCCGCGGAAACGCCGCCCTTCGCCTTCCGTCTCTCCAGGATCTCTCGCTTCCAGGCCGGCATCCTCGGACTCTCTTGGCCGGCGTCTTGGCGGAGGACGTGGACGTCTCCCCCGCCGGACATCGTGGCGTTTGGTGGTGAGGAAAACGGGGGAACTCCGAGGCGGACTGGCCGCGGTCCGGTGCGGCGCTATGGAGGCTGTTATCCGGCTGTGACCGTACCTGCAGCACCGACCAGCGGACACACAAACATCCCTTCCTCCGCCGCTTTCCTCGCTCTCTGCCTGCTCTCTATTCGGCTCCCTTTCTCCTCACATCCCTTGAAAGAGGCCACGCCTCCTCCAGACGCTGATTGGTCGACTCCAATTGACGACACGCCCACTTCCTGCCAATCAAATCACTTGGCATTAAATTCTATATATATTTACAATAAATACGTTTATCGAGCAAACAGTAAACAAATAGTAATTTTTTAAAAATAAATTTTAAATACAAACCATATAAATAATTTATAACAAATATTTATTCTTGACAAAAATATAATTAATTTCTAAAAAAAAAAAAAAATCTAAGAAGCTTAAAATGGAAAGAAAACAAACAAAAAATGCATTTATCAAAACTAACTGAGTAAACAGCAAGTTATCTCAGTTTAATAAAAACAATAACAATTATTTCCATGGTAACAAAATATATAGTTATTGAGGAAATCATAAGAAATGTAATATTTTCATATTGACAGTTTCAATGAATCTCGAAAGTAAACATAATTATTTAAGAACTTATTTTTTGAATTATTTTAAAACTTCTTATATGTCTGTATTGATAAACTGATACGTAATTTTTAAAAAGTGGATTTATTTCAGTATTTACATTGAAAAGTAGTTGTAACCAATATTTAAAAATGACAAAAATGAACAAAATTTAATTAAAAAAATACTATACTAAATATAATTGTTACCTACAACTTTGTATATGTCATTTAGTACAATTAATAAAAATTAACTTCATTTTATCATAAGTAAGAATTTAACTAAAACCTGAAAGTCTGCAAAATTATAAAATATATTCTTTGACTTATGTTATAAGTTACTAGGAAGCCGAATATCATTTTAAAAAGTGAGTTTATTTCAGCAATTACATTAAAACCAGAAGAAAAAGAAGAATAAAATAAAAGGAAATACAAAAAAAATAAAATAAATAAAAAAGTTACAAATGTTAAAGTCTATAATATAGAATCTTAGATCAATGAATGTCACAAATTTTATTTCCATAATGTTATATTATGGCCGCAATCAGAAATCGACAGCACAAACACTCAGCTTATTAAGGGAAAGTTGAGTGGAAGGAAAAACTCACAATCAACAATTAATTAACTTCTAAAGGGCACAATTTGTTAAATCTATTCATTATATGTCAAAACGATATTAACACTTTTCTTTAAACTCAAAGTCAGTGGGCGGGGCTAAAAAGGCTACAGATAAACTGATTGGTGTGATTAAAAAAAAGTAATAAATATATTCAATGAATAAAATCATATATTATATTTTGTGGTGAAAACATACAATAATATCATTTATTTCTTGTTTTTAATACATATTGAAGGAAAATGATGGAAACAATTCATAAATGTATTCATGTTTGTAGTCGTTAGGAAGTGTGTGTGCATGTGGGTGTATGTAGGTGTGTATGTAGGTGTGTGTGTGTGAGATCCAGTCCAGTGAACAGCTGAGCTGCTCAGTCTGCTGCACATGAATCAGCACTAAGTGGCCGTTCCTGTCGCTGCAGCAGATATTGATGCTGCTCATCAAATATTGAAGGCAAAGCCGTAACTAAACGCAGTCCGACCAAAGAGAACGATTCGGACCCAACGAGGCTTATTTCCTCAATCATGGCGGCTTCACGGACATTAAACCAAAACAAGGAAGTAAACAAACAAAAACACAAATATTTCTGTGAAACATTCAGAAGGACTTTCATTGTCACACATGAACTGTTGTTTTAAACATCGACGTTTGCAAAAGCTTTGAGCCAGAAAAACTGGAATACAAGCAGAAACGAAGGATTTAAAAGAACTCAGGGTTTCAGCAGGTTTGCAGTTTTCTGGAAGTTTGTTCCAAATTAGAGGGGCAGAACTGAATGATGACTTTTTGGACATTTTTAGTCAAGATTTATTGACACATATATAAAGTATGTTCTTCCTTCTATATCACAATAATGCACCAATGAGCAGCATTTTTTAGTGTCATATAGAAACTTTGATGTATTATTTATTAATTTTTGTTGATTTGATGTAGAAATTTCCAACAAAACACATCAAAGTTTGTGGTTTGAACAGGAAAACATAGAAAAAAAATTATAAATTATTTATTTTTTTAAACTGACATGTATCTTTTTTAAAATTAAATGTTTTTAATAAAGCTTTAACAGGTTAAATTCACTAATTATAAAACTAAATATAATCACTGACATGTTAAAGCACATGGGAAATGTATTTTATTATGATGTGGAGAATAGAGCTTAAAAAGAATAAAAGTTAAAATAATTTGTAAACATGATCTGAAGCTGTCTGGGTGAGTGGCGCCTCCTTGTGGCCAAATACTGTCTGTACACCATTACGTCAACTGTTGATTTTCTTTTTAAAGGTTTTTTATTTACAGAATCTATACAAAATAACCAATGTGTAGTGCAGCAAAAACCAGAGGAACATAAATATAAACGTGGATTTTTCCTTAAAAATTCAACATATATATATATTATTTTACACTGAATTTTACATCGTTTTAAATTAAAGGATCCCATAAATACATGCAGAACATTTACAGAGAAACGTCGGGCTGAGCGAGGCCACAGCATGGAGGAGACACAGAGTTTGGTGATTTATGACCCGTTAGCTGCAGAACGGTGACTTCCTGTGGAGAAAATAAAGTTCCTTTTGATCAACTTTACTTATTCCTGACAGATTTAAAGAGACAGTGTTGTGCAACAGTCTTGAAGTATTCAGATTTCTCTAAATTTAACTGTAAAATGAGCCAAACTCTGTTCAAAATGCTCTAATTTGTCATACTTCTGAGTTATTTTCTATTTAAAATGTTCTAAGTCTGCTGCATTATGTATGTTTTTAATATTTTAGATTTCTATTTTGTTTCTAAAATTGAAACAAATGAAAGAAGATATGAAAAGAAGATTCTTCTCATATCTTCAGTTCCAAAATGTACTGATATTTCAACTTGTTACATTGTTTAACATTTCAATAAGACATAAATGGGGATAAAAGAAATTAATCTCAGTATATTGAACACAAATGTTTGGCTGCATGGAACAGAAATGTAAAGAAATGAGGAATGACTCAAGACCTTTGCACAGTTAAGTCAGAGTTTCTGTCCTCTGATTGATGGTTTTCTTCTTCTCTGACTCAAAACATGAACAACTTCACAAAATGTCAAAAAAAAAAAAAAAACATCAATTATATCCATAAATCTCTGGCGCATCAGAGAAAACACATAAAAGATAAAGAGCAGAAGACCTCAGAGAAAAACTCACTTTTGCGGTTTTTTCTTGGAATTTTTTTTGTTATTTCTCTTAATTTGTTTTTGAATATTAATCTCAATTTCTGAGTTCTTTCTCAAAATTTAACACAGAGATCTTTGAGGGTTTTTTTTATTTCTGAATATCTGAATTTTTTATTTTTTATTTTTTTTACATTTGTGTTACTTTCCAAAATCAGAAATTGTTGGATAATTGTAGATTCATTTCTTATTTCTGAGTTTTTTCACGAAAATTTTCAAATTTGTTGTATAAAATGTTTGAAATTTTCAACTTCTCAAACTCAAAAATAGAGTACTTTTTCAGAAAATTTATGAGAATCTCAGAATTTTAGTTATTTCTCACTAATTTTTCAGCAAATATTTGAAAATTTCTGTTGAAAAAGAAATTCTCAAAATAAATTCTGAAATTAATCTCAGAATTTCAGATTTTTGGTTTTTCTCTGAAACCTCCTCCTTCTCTTTCTTTCTTCCCTCTGTCGGCCCTCCTGCGGCGCGGTGAATCTCTCGCGGCGCCGCTCTGCCCTCAGTTGACCCGGCAGGCCCGGATCATCAGCAGCTGCAGCAGGATGAAGAGCGGCGACACGATGAGGCCGAACCACAAGTCTCGGGCTCGGTCCTGCTCGGCCAGCTTCTGGCACAGCAGAACTTCGCAGACCAGCTTCAGGCTCAGCACCGTCAACACCCAGAGCAGCCGCAGCACCGCCAGCCGCTTCTCGTTCTCCTGGTACAGCCGGATCGACACGATGGCCGTGAAGTAGGTGCTGAGGCCGTCGGCGGCGAACAGCGGCACGAACACCAGCCACCAGCTGAGCCGGTCGCTCAGCAGGTCCACCCGCAGAGCCACCAGCATGCTAAAGAGCAGCAGCGCCAGCAGGTGGAGGAAGAGTTCGAAGGTGGCGAAGCCCAGCCACTGGACCAGCTCCCTCAGAGAAAACAACATGGCCGACGGACGGACAGAGGACTCCGGGTCAGGATGAGGATCTGAAAACTGAAGGCTTCTGGCGCTGCAGAGATCTCCCACCTGATTGGCTACATCTTCTCACCCAGCCTGAGGGGAAAGGAGAGTGAGTCCTGAAAGCGACAGTGCTTACATTTTATTAAAAAATTATTATTTACATATTTTTTCAAATGTTGTGACAGTTTGTTATGAGACAGAGCTACTATGTCCATCTGAAGAAATGCACCACCAAAAACAACCAATCAGAACCACGAGGTGGAAACAAAACAACTTATAGTTATAGGAAAACCATTTATCTGCCATTATTAGTGACTATTCTAACTAGCTTCAGTATTTACGACAAGCTATGCTATTATCAGGTAGGAGCTGCAGTGTGAGAAGCGCCACACAGAGGTTGATTGACAGCATTAAGACCCGCCTTCTGGCTCTGATTGGCTGTTTTTAGTTTGCGCAAGGAGAAAACAGAAAAGCTTGATTTTTTTTTTCATATCATCTGACTTGACATAGCCACAGTTTAAACAAATATGTAGAAAACATGTATATATTTTACACTAGTTACATACTGGAGGTTCATAACTGGTTACCAGGTTAGAAAAGCATCAGCAGCAGATAGAAAACCTGTTCTCTGTTTCTAACCAGACAGCCAACTTTTCCCTCCGTCAGTTCACAAGTAGCTATGATGTTCCAGATAATACAGTTTAACCGAATTAGCTACGACACAGCATCATATTTACGTTTTAACCACCAAACAGCTCGATGATTAAGAAAAACAGCCGAATGCTACAGAATGCTAACCACAGTTATGACTTTATAAAACAAACACAACACGCAAACACGAGAATTCACAGATATATTCACGGTTATATGGAGTTAATTTACCTCAGAAACTATGAGCGGCTCTTCTTCTCCATGGAATTACAGATGAAACCGGCAGAACACAACGATGCTAACAAGCTGCTAACATGGAAGCTTCTGCTGCTTCTTCTTCTTTGGCTCTAAACGGCGCAGTTCACCACAGCGCTGCTGCCACCTACTGGAGCTTCAGGATAACGCAAGAATTGATCCTCTACTGCTATTTGTATTTATTTATTTATTCTAAATATTTCTGTTTAGATTTACTTTTATTTGTGCTGACTTTATTTCTTATATTTTACCCAATTTTCTGATGATTACAGGGTGATAAAACACTTCGATTTACATATTTAATATGATTATTTTTATGTCTATTTTAGTTTTTCTACTTATTTATTTTAGATGTTTATGAAGTATTTTTTATATATTTTCATATTACACATGTATATTTTCTTGCCTGCTTGCTATTTTTTATTTACATCATATTTAAAATTTGAACTAAAATAAGTATATTTAAATAATTGTTTTTTTTTTGCAGATTTTATTAGAAACTAAAATTTTGTATAAGAAATAATACTTCAGTCGATGGCAAATTTTGAAGGAATTAGATTTTTACATTTGGATTCTCTTGCAATTCATTGTGATTCGCTGCAAGAGCCACTATTGGTGATGCAGATATTTACACATTTTTGATGAAAATACCATCAGATTTTCTCTTGTTCAAGTCACTGGTTGATTGGATATTAAAAGAGAGGAAAATTAACAGAAATTACCTTATTTAGTATTGTTAATACTGTAATTGCAACACATGTTTAAATATAAAACTGTTACACCAAAAACGAACTTTGATGCGATCGAGAGTAAAGATTAAAGTGAAATTCATCATATTTTAATATGAATAACAATAATAATATTAGTCATTATCATCGTCATAGTTTTGATTAGAAAGTTTTGGATGTGTTTGATACAAAAATATTTCTCAAATCTATATATTTTGCATTCATACCAAAGGAGATGCTTTAATGGAAAACCGTTTTAATTTTATGTCTTTTTGTAAGTATTAAATTTACAAATTTAATACTTTTAATATTAGATACATTTAATATTAAAGATTTTCCCAATTTATGCTTCAAAGTATTGACCTCTGACCTTCATGGGATGGAATGTTTACTTTAATTAGGACTTTCTGAAAGTCAGAGTTGATGAAAAAATATTTTTAATGCAAATATTTAAATTTGCAAGGAAAGAACAGAATGAGCAGCAAATGAACCAAATACAGAAGAAAAATGTTTTTATTTAAAACACATGAAGAAAAACTGCAGCAAATTTACAAAAGGAAGATTTAATATTCAAATCTGACATGTTGAGAAAAATAGGAGCCGATAGAAACAGAAAATGATCAGATTGAGAAAAACTGATCAATATTTCAATGAAATCTGATGAATGAAAGGAAAAAATAAGAGAAACAACATCTTGATATTCAGTGTGAAGCTTTGACTGGAAACAGAGAGAAAAAGATGAGGATCCTAGTATAATCCTGGAATAATCCTGGAATAATCCCAGTTTCCATCTTTAAAGGACTGGAAGAAGAAAAAGTTTCCGAGGACTCAATCAGAATCGTTTCACCAAGAAATAGATTGTAGACTGAACTATCTGTTCAACAGTGAGAGAGTTTCTCTGACAGGAGGAAAAACTTTAGACTCTTTAGACTCAAATCAGCTCAGAAACACTGAAGAACCAGATCTGGGCCAGACTGTAAATCCAGGAATCAGAGGTTCAGTGAATGTGGCGTTGAAGGTTTGGAGGAGGATCAGTGAGTCAGAGGAGACTCTGTAGAAGGACAGAATGCCAGCAGGACAGTCCACATACACTGCTACTCTGTGAGAGTCAGAGGAGGAAGAGAGACGAGTTTCTATGCTATTGTGACAGACAGAATAACCAACATCAGAGCATCTCAGACTCCAGGAATGATCATTCCATCCAAACAAACAGTCTGTATTGTCTCCTTTCCTATTGATTCTTCTGTAACTCACTGATATATAAACATATCCTCTCCACTCAACCTCCCAGTAACAGCGACCAGTCAGACCAGTTCTACAGAGCAGCTGATACCAGTAATCAAATCTGTCTGGATGATCAGGATATGACTGAAGCTCCTCCTCCCATGTCACCTTCCTGTTGTCTTTAGACAGTTTGAGTTTTCTGTTCACTGTGTTTGTGTCGATGGTGAGTTGACAGGAATCTGATGAAGAGAACAAACACAATCCATCTGCAGTTATTGATCATTTATTGACACTTTGACTCCTGAATGAGTGATGTGACAGTTTGAAGATGGTTGAATGTGAGCTGCTTTGTTGTCATGAATCAGATGAAAAAACACACTTACATTTCCTCAGACCTGGAGTCAAGAATTGGTCTCCAGCAGGCTCCACCCTGAAAGGAGGAGGGGGGTCAGACCATCAGTCTCTTTCAGCAGCAAACATGGACATTACATGTCAGCACTTCCTCTACCAACCAGCGCCACCAGGTGGCGTTGCACACATTTACAATGAGCCCAAGAAGAAGAAGCAGCATCCTGAATCCAGCAGCTGCAGTAATGGCTTGTGAAAGTGTCCAAGGAGCATCTGGAACCAGAACCAGCAAATCCAACAGTCCAGAGAGTCTTTGTTTGCATCTTTCCTCTCAGATTTCCAAGCTGCTCTGAGAGGGAAATGACATCATCACTCTACTGATGATGTCATGCTCTGATGTCACTGATCAGGAGCTGCTGGACTTCTACATTTCCAGCATGGAGGACAGAGAAGATCTCAGCTCTGATGAGGAGCTGACCTGCCTTCACACTGATTGAGGCTCAAAGAAATATTTCCAGATGAAGTCAGACTAAAATGTTGGATTGTCCTGCTGTTGGAATCAGAGGCCAAGAAGAAACTTCAAGTTCTTCTCCTGTTCAGCTCCACGTTCCTGTCAGAGACTTCAGCTCCTCATGAGGAGAACAACTAAAGCCTGGAACAGACTGACACCAACATCCTGACATCTCATCACTGAACAAAGCTTTGCAGCATCAAGGTGACGCTTAGCGCCATATATGGACAGATTTCCTCTAAAGGGGGCGGAGCCTGGATTGGAGGAACCAGCAGCAGCTTTCAGGAACAAACCTTAGGAAAACCAGCAGACTGACTAAAGACATTTCTCCCTCTTCCTCCTCTATCAGACCTTCTCTGCTCCTGCAGCAGGTTCCTCCATACCTGAGAGCTTCCAGTCTCCAGTGTGGATCCTTCAGTCCAGCCGACAGCAGCTTCACTCCTGAGTCTCCTGGATGATTGTAGCTCAGGTCCAACTCTTTCAGATGGGAGGGGTTGGAGGTCAGAGCTGAGGCCAGAGAAGCACAGCCTTCCTCTGAGACCAAACAGCCTGATAAGCTGCAGACACACAATTCATCACATGATGAGAAAATGAGAACATGGAGGTAGAGACCAAGGACTGAACAGATGGATGGATGGATGAATGGATGGATGGATGGATGGATGGATGGATGGATGGATGGATGGATGGATGGATGGATGGATGGATGGATGGATGGATGGATGGATGGATGGATGGATGGATCTGTAATTATGCTTCTTTTTGCACCCAAGATGCATCAATTTGTCAAGAGCCCAGAGTTACCTGAGAGTTTCCAGGTTGCAGTTTGGACTCTTCAGTCCAGCAGAGAGAAGCTTCACTCCTGAATCCTGCAGGTTGTTGTTACTCAGGTCCAGTTCTCTGAGACTGGAGGACTGGGAGCTGAGAAGTGAGGACAGAGCTTCACAGCTTCTCTCTGAGAGGTTACAGACACTCAGTCTGAGGAGACATGGAGGAAAATCTGTTATTAAACAATTCCTCAAAATATATAAAATGTATGTTCTTTCAAATCAACAATGCTTTTATTGGACACAGAATGAACCATTTAATTTTACACAACCTTTTCATTTGTTGTGAACTGGTTCATTCTATAGTTGGACCTACAGCCTTAAAGTACTGAACTACAGGCAACAAGGAGGTTGGAAAGAGCATCATAAAATTCCACAAAATTCTATTTCATTTTTAACAGTGGAGGAGTTTTGCTGCTTTAATATGTAACACTATGTCCAGCTGCTGAAGGAAGTCTTTTTTTTTTTTTTGCACAACCGCACAATGGGACATATTGAAGAGACATTGAAACATGAATATTTACCTCATAATTAGCAGATTTTTACCCATCAAATAACTGCATTAACAATCTGTGTCCTTACAGAGCTTTGTTGGAGACTTTAACCACTGGCAGCAGCCTCAGAAGAACCTCCTCTGAAGCAGAGTATTTCTTCAGGTCAAACACATCCAGATCTTTTCCTGATGACACTAAGATGAAACCCAGAGCTGACCACTGAGCAGGAGACAGTTTATCTGTGGAGAGACTTCCTGAACTCAGAGACTGTTGGATCTCCTCCACTAGAGAACGATCATTCAGTTCATTCAGACAGTGGAACAGATTGATGCTTTTCTCTGCAGACATTCTCATTAATCTTCTCCTTGACGTACTGAACTGATTCCTGATTGGTCTGTGAGATACTTCCTGTCTTTGTCAGCAGACCTTGTAGGAGTCTCTGATTGGTCTGCAGTGAAAGTCCCAGGAGGAAGCGGAGGAACAAGTCCAGGTGTCCATTTGGACTCTGTAAGGCCTGGTCAACAGCTCTCTGATGGACAGACTTTAGTTCAGGTTTATTAAGTAATGAAGATGTATTAGATGTTTGTTTCTCTTCCATCAGGTTGACACCAGAGTTGATGAAGGTCAGATGAACATGAAGAGCAGCCAGAAACTCCTGAACACTCAGATGGATGAAGCAGAACACCTTGTCCTGGTACAGACCTCTCTCCTCTTTAAAGATCTGTGTGAACACTCCTGAGTACACTGAGGCTGCTCTGATATCGATGCCACACTCTGTCAGGTCTGATTCATAGAAGATCAGGTTTCCTTTCTGCAGCTGATCAAAAGCCAGTTTTCCCAGAGACTCAATCATCATCCTGCTCTCTGGACTCCACTGTGGATCTGTTTCAGCTCCTCCATCATACTTGACCTTCTTCACTTTGGTCTGAACCACCAGGAAGTGGATGTACATCTCAGTCAGGGTTCTGGGCAGCTTTCCTCCCTCTCTAGTCTCCAACACATCCTCCAGAACTGTAGCAGTGATCCAGCAGAAGACTGGGATGTGGCACATGATGTGGAGGCTTCGTGATGTCTTCATGTGGAGATGATACTGCTGGCCTGTTTCTCATCTCTGAATCTCTTCCTGAAGTACTCCTCCTTCTGAGGGTCATTGAACCCTCTGACCTCTGTCACCATGCCAACACACTGAGGAGGGATCTGATTGGCTGCTGCAGGTCGTGTGGTTATCCAGAGGAGAGCAGAGGGAAGCAGTTTCCCCCTGATGAGGTTTGTCAGCAGAACATCCACTGAGGTGGACTCTGTAGCATCAGTCAGGATCTCCTTGTTGTGGAAGTCCAGTGGAAGTCGACTCTCATCCAAGCCATCAAAGATGAACAGAACCTGGAAGTGTTCAAAGCTGCAGATTTCTTTGGTTTCACTAAAGAAATGATGAACAAGTTCCACCAAGCTGAACTTTTTCTCTTTCAGCACATTCAGCTCTCTGAATGTGAATGGAAATATGAACTGGATGTTCTGGTGGGCTTTGTCTTCAGCCCAGTCCAGAGTGAACTTCTGTGTTAGGACTGTTTTCCCAATGCCAGCCACGCCCTTTGTCATCACTGTTCTGATTGGTTGATCTCTTCCAGGTGGGACTTTAAAGATGTCTTCTTGTCTGATTATTGTTTCTGGTCTGTGTGGTTTCCTGAATGCTGTTTCAATCTGTCTGACCTCATGTTCATCATTGACCTCTCCAGTCCCTCCCTCTGTGATGTAGAGCTCTGTGTAGATCTGGTTCAGAAGGGTTGGACTTCCTGCTTTAGCAATTCCCTCAAACACAGACTGGAACTTCTTCTTCAGACCAGATTTAAGTTTATGTTGACAAACTGGAGCAAGATGTTCTAAATTAACACAATAACAAAAATTAAATATGAAAGAAAATCGTCTTTTAAATTTCATTACATCACTTCAGCAAATGTGTAATTTATCTATCATTTCAAATCTCTGTAGAAATCCTCTTACTGATCTGCAGATGGCCAGCCAGCTTTTCCTGCTTCATCCTCCTCAGGAAGTTCAGTGTGATCTTCATCAGTGCCTCTCTGCTGCTCCTCCTCTGTTCTTCATCATCACCTTCCAACACCTCATCATCTCTCTGACTCTCTGAATGTTCTGGGTAATCTGGACTCAGAACTTTCTGGATGTTCTTCAGTTCTTTCTTCACAAAAGTAACAATGTTGTCCTCCAGCAGCTGGAACAGAATAATAGATGAAGGAAACATCAGAGTGAAATCATGGAGCCAAACACCAGATGGATGTTGGACAGACTGACAGTCCTCTGGTCTACAAAGTGCAGCATGAAGGTGACTTTGAACAGAACTCATGGAACAGATCTGTACATGGTTTGTATATGTTGTTAATATACAAACCATAAATATGGAGTCCAGCTGGTTTGATGATGCTGGGGAGATGGACCCCTGGGAACCTCTGAGCTGTGCTGGTCCACTCTGTGGAGGAACCAGGAACAATTTGGAAGTCAGGGAAGATTAATCCAGCAGTATTCACAGAGGAAAACAGAGCATTACATGAACACAATTCAAAGTTAGGAAGATGATCCACACTCATGAATACCATTAACACCAGAATAACCCAATAGCCATGTGAAAAAGTTGATTTTGCCAGTAAAACAAAATTCATTAACTGGATTAATAAAATATCCACAACCTTACCAATGGAAAAAATTAGTTTTATTATAAAAGGGAAACTCGCTGTTTCAAAAATATTTGCGGTCTTTTTATAGAATATCTTGAAAACATGGACATGAGAGGTATTGGGGGTGAGTTATAGTTGCGGTTGATCCCCTGCAGTGTCCTAAGATCCATCCATCCATTTCCTTACACCTTTGTCCCTAGTGTGATCAGGAGGTACTGGTGTCTATCTCCAGCTAACATTCTGGTCGTGAGGTGGGGTACACTCTGGACAGGTCACCAGTCTGTTGCAGGGTAACACAGGGAGACAGGATAAACAACCATGCACTGACACCTGGGGAGAATTTAAAGAGACAAATTAACCTGACAGTCATGTTTTTGGACTCTGGGAGGAACCCATGCATGCACAGGGAGAACATGCAAACTCCATGAAGAATCAAACCCGGGACCTTCTTGCTGCAATTACCAACTGTGCCACTGTGCAGCTCAAGGTGTCCTAAGATAATCTTCTTCATTTGTATACTTGACTACTTTTCTTTGAGTTATACATTTGAGATTGTATTTTCTGAACCACATAAAATATTAAAATAATTTGGGCTACCACCTGGAAAATAGAAAAACTGTTATTGTTGTAATTGTTGTTTCTTCTCTGGGGGGTTTGATGATTGGGGGCATTGTTTTTCTATTCTCATATACTCTTAGAAAAGAGTATATTGGTGGTGCTCTAAAATATCATATAACAGCCTGGAGTGTTGATTTTGAAGTACGACTTCAAACAGTCCAAACTGTCAGCAGATCTGATGCTGGTGGAGACAGTTTCCCAGAGCTTGGGGACAGTGGAAGTGAAGGCTCTGTCCACACAGGTCTTCAGGACAGTGTGGGACATCCATCAGGTTCTGATGACTAGATCTGAGGTGATGGAGGAGATCTGAGGTATATGGGTGTATCCATGTAGGGTGCTATCCTGGATGTTTTAGAGGGAATTTTAAACTGGATCCTGTAGATCCCTGGAAGCAGTGATGGGCCGTGAGGTTCATAGCTGGTGAGACACTGATGTCATCAGAATCAGATTTGCAAATAGATTCAGCTTGATTGAAAGTCCACTTGAGAAAACTGTTTTGGTGTTGAAATGTAGTTATCCATGTTGAAAGTCGGGATAGGCGAGAGGAAAAAAGTTATTTCTATCTTTAATAATCTATCGCTGCACTTGACTTGCTTACTGTATCGTTTAGCTTAGCTCGCTGTCACTTACTCTGCAGTTGTGAGCGCCCCCTGTCATGAGGCAAGAGAACTGCCTTCCTCACCTCCAACCTGTTCTCTTCTGTTTATAATCGCTCAGCACACAAAACATGTTACACAAACACAGTTGGTGACAAAAAGCACTGTACATTATATACATAAGCTAAATTATTGAAAATCAGTTCACATATTAAATATGTTTAACCATTTTATTGACACCATACAGCAACATGCTCTCTACGCTTAGCAGCCAGCGCAGTTAGCCAGGGGTTGCGCCATCCAAGGTGAGGCTGAGCTGTTGCTGCCTCACCGGCATCACGTCTAAGCATTTGAATGGAAAATCAAGAAGATTCAGCAATTTTGAAGAAAGAATAATTGAAATTGGTGAAGAATGAAGTTTCTTTAGTACAAACCAATATATGAATATGACAATTTAAATTATTTTATTATTATATTTTTTCTTTCTTTCCATGATGGCAGGTGAGGCACTGCCTCCCCTGACCACACGTCACTGCCTGGAAGCCAGTGAGCTCACATTGTATCTGTCCACACAGAGACAATCTGAAGGTAAAGGTCCATGAAGTGATATCTGGATGTGAGCAGTGAACCAGGTGATCTAAGTAGTTGTAAAGATTTAATGTTCCTGCTGATCCATTAAGAACCAGCAGAACCTCTGATGGTCCACATCAGCTCAGTTTGGTTGAGTTCCAGCAGATCTCACCAACCACATCATGAAGCTTTCCTTCCCTGCTGAACTGCTCTCACAATGCACACAGGAAGCAAGTCCTGATGGACCAGAATGGCTTTACCAGGTATTTCCCAGTGGAAATGTGATCCACTGTTAGTCTGACATGGAGCCAGGAAGCAACAGAACATCATCATCAACATCCAGAGATAAAGATATGAAGGTGTTTTCATGAGAACAGAGCAGCTGATTTCTGTAGATAATGGATCAAACCTCTGGAAATATAACTGGAAACATCTGAGTTCTTACTGGTTCAGTTTCCAGAGTTACAGCAATTAGATACAGCTCACCTCTCTGATGGTGGAGATCCAGGAGATTTAAAATAAATGAAGTCTTCCTTTGACATGTCACTCTTAAAGGACACACAGCTGGGTTCTGGTTCTGGTTCTGGTTTGCGTCTCTGATGGATTCTGACAGAAACATGATGATTAAAACTTAATCAGCAAAGAAGAGCAGCAGCAGCTTCATCACCACGTCTGTTCTGGCCTGATATAGTGAACGCTGTGTGAAAAGGGCTGTGGACAGTTAGAGATGGTGACCTCACCTCTGACCTTTGCTCTGGCTCTCATTTTCCCCACACAGAGTGGTTTTAGAGGGAGGGACTCCCTCCTCTCTGTCACTAAGGAAGAGGTTGCACCCTGTCCACCCTGTGGCTGACTATACATAAAACTTGTTCAATTGGAACTGACTCTGAGACAGGGAGTGACCACGTTGTGTAACGAATCCTACATATTGTGAGAGCTTGCAGCTCCTAGTCAGAACTCATTGAAGGTCCTGTGCTGTGGTTACTGTGTATTCTCCATTTGCAACGACAGAAATAAAGATTTTGGTATTTGCTATTTACCAGACTCTCAACCCTGATTTGTTCAACACAGATTAAATTTTTTTTGTCCACAGTTTCATTTGGAAAAATTGGGCTAAAACAAAACAGAATAAAACACAGTTAAATGTTTCTGGTCCAAATGTCATGTCAACATAATAGTTTATAAGAGTGAGTCCTGACTGAGGATTTATAAGATTCTTTCTGTATGGAGTCAATAACTGTCCAATGAATGATGGTTAAATTGATGTCAGGTAAACATCAGATCAGATTTAGAGATTCTGTTAACTAGTGAAGCTCTGGGTAGAGACTGTGGATCCAAACGGACCTGTTTGATTTTTATACAAAGGATCCAGTTGAACTTTATTGTTCATAGTAACATGTTCATTATTGGTACATGTTTCATTGGAGACATCATACGTATTACATCTTTGACGTATGAAAAGAAAAATAACCTGAAATTCAGTCCAATGTTTTCATGACAACAGAACCCAACAGAACTTATCATCACATGGCCACAATAACAGATATAAACAGAAGTTACAGCAATTAGAAACAGCTCACTCTCTGATGGTGGAGATCCAGCAGATTTAAAGTAGATGAAGTCTTCCTTTGACATGTCGCTCTTAAAGGACACACAGCTGGGTTCTGGTTCTGGTTCTGGTTTGAGTCTCTGATGGATCCTGACAGAAACATGATGATTAAAACTTAATCAGCAAAGAGGAGCAGCAGCTTCATCACCACGTCTGTTCTGGCCTGATATAGTGAACGCTGTGTGAAAAGGGCTGTGGACAGTTGGAGATGGTGACCTCACCTCTGACCTTTGCTCTGGCTCTCATCTTCCCCACACAGAGTGGTTTTAGAGGGAGGGACTCCCTCCTCTCTGTCCTCACACTGATCCATGCTGCTGAATCCACATCAGCTCACACACACTTTCTAGCTTCACCTGCAGAGGAAACACACATCATTCATCTGCACATCAACTCTGATCATCCTTTACATCATTAGTGCTGGAAAAAGATCAGCTGCTCCTCCTCTGATTGGCTCTTCTTCTCTGCTTCATATCAGTGTCAGGTGAATGCAGTCAGACAGCAGAGAGGCAGAGGAAGCTGCCATCAGCTGCTGCACTTCTACTATCAGTCCACTAGATGGAGACATGGAGCAACATTTACATTCACTGATTCAACCTGAACAGGAAGTATTTTAGTTAATTATTAAACTGTACAAGTGGATTATCTGCTCCTTCAAAGTTCAACTATTTAATAATCTGACTGAATTAAATACATTTTAACAATAACATTATTTTATTTTGAAAGGAAGCAACAGGACTTTCTGGTTTTAATGGTGGAGACCAGAGATTGAATCCAGGAAATAAAACCAAGAATCAGTTTGTTCAGAGAAGAAAATAAAGAAAACCAGATGTTCAGCAGAGAACTTCAAACAACAGAGATTTTAGTTGTTTAGCTGAAATCAGAAGTGAACATTTTGTCCAAACATCAGAGCAGAAACAAGCAGGAATATCCTGATGACAAAGTTCAAGTAGGAAACAAAGCAAACTTACAGTTTGTTCAAATGATCCAAAGATTTGATAAAGAAAATCTGAACAACAAGCTGAGACCCAACAGAACCACAGTAGATCCAGACTGGTGTCACCAATAAACAGGTTAGTTTAAACTGAAAGTGTTAAGAGGAGAAAAGAGCCAGACTGACTGGTCTGACTGGTCTGACTGGTCTGACTGGTCTGACTGGTCTGACTGACTGGGAGTCAGAGGAAAGGCAACTTTATTTACATAACACCTTTCAGCCAAAGACAACTCAAAGTGACTTTACAAGAAAGTTTAAAACAAAATGCAATAAGAAGATAGTAAAAATAATAATAATAATTTTAAAAAGTTAAGATTAAAAATAGACAAATAAACATTAAAATTTTAAATGTAGTTCATGAATTAACTGTTAATTAAATGTTTAATAGGCAACTTCAAATAACAAAGTTTTTAACCTTGTTTAAAATCAACTCAAGGTAGGCGCAGTCTTACAATGAGCAGGAAGTTTATTCTAAATTGTTGGAGCATAAAAAACTAAATGTTGCTTCACCAAGTTTAGTTCTGACTCTTGGTTTAGTTAATAGGTTTGATTCTGGTGATCTTAAAGGTCTGAGTGGTATATATGGTTGAAGAAGATCAGAAATGTAGTCTGGGCTTCTATTATTTAGTGTTTTGTAAACTATTAAGGATATTTTAAATTATATTATTTGAGCAACAGGCAGCCAGTGCAGGGATCTCAGAACTGGGCTGATCTGCTGATCTTTTTTGTTTTAGTTAGGACTCTTGCAGCAGCATTCTGGAGAAGCTGGAGCTCTTATTGCTTTTTTTGATAATCCAGTAAATATGGCACTGCAGTAATCGAGTCTACTATTAACAAAGGGACTAATTTCTCAGAGTCTTGTGGAGTCGTCTAATTTTAGCAATATTTTTAAATGGTAGTATGATGATTTCATGATAGATTTGATGTGGTTATTAAAGTTCAGATCAGGATTCATGATCATCCCCAGATTATTGGCTTGTCAGAGCATTTTAATCCCACAGATTGAAGGTGGGTGATTGTTTTAAATCTATGTTCTTTTGGTCCAAACACTAATATTTCAGTTTTATTTTGATTTAGTTGGAGAAAGTTTTTGCTCATCCAGACATTAATCTGTTCAATACATGTAGTGAATATTTGAACCTGACTGTAATCTCCTGGTGAAAGACTAATGAATAGCTGTGTGTCATTGGCATAGTTGTGGTTTTCTATATCATTATTTTTTATGATTTTAAATAATGAAAGCATATTGATATTGAAAAAAATTGGCCCCAGGATGGACCCTTGGGGAACTCCATAGGTAATTTTATTTACCTTCGATTTAAAGCTGCCTATGGAAACACAAAAGGTTCTGTCAGACAGGTAAGATTTAAGCCAGCTGAAAAATACACCGGAAATGCCAACTCAATATTCTCATCAACATAATAAAATATCGTGATCGTTTGTGTCGAATGCAGCACTAAAGTCAAGTAGAAGTAATATTGACATTTTATTAGGGTCGGTGTTTAGATGGAGGTCATTGAATATTTTCACAGCAGCAGTTTCAGTTGACAGAAGCCTGATTAATGAACATCAAAACAGTTTAGGGCTAGAAAAACATTTATCTGTTGAAAAACTATTTTTTCTAATATTTTAGCTAAAAAAGGTAAGTTTGATATTGGTCAGTAATCACTTAGAATTGATGAGTCCAGAATCTGTTTTTTGAGAAAGTGGTTTAACTACCACAGTCTTTAAAGCCTGAGGGAAAACTCCAGAGGTGAATGAATTATTAATTATTTGTAGAAGATCAGGAGCAAAAACATCTGAGACCTTTAAGAATAAACTCGTAGGTATGATGTCAAGGGAACAGGTGGATAAATTCATGATGTAAAGTGTAACTCTAATGTTTTTGAGTGACCAGGTTAAAGTGGGTCATCATAGGTAAGTCCTGTTTGGTGGAAAACAGTTAATTGTTTCCTAACAACAGACACAGAGGAGTTCATGTCTCCCTTATTTTCACCATTTTATTTACAAAATAGGTGGCAAGTTTGTCACAGACCTCAGAGGAGAAAAATTCATGATTAACAGTAGAAGGTGGATTTATCAATCTGTCAACAATTGAGAACAGAGCATGAGAGTTGTTGATAGAGGTAGAAATGACATTTGAGAAAAAAACTCTCTCTTGCATTTCTCAGTTCAGAATTAAATGTTTTGAGTTTATCTTTGTAAATATCTAAATGTGTTTGCAGTTTAGTTTTACGCCACTGATGTTCAGCTTTCCTTCATTCTTTCTTCCCTTTTCTAACAGACTCTAAATTTCTCCAAGGTGGTTCATCTTTCCCAGAGATTATTTTTGTAGTAGCAGGAGCAATGGTGTCAATAACCTTCTCAATTTTAAACATAAAGTTGACAATTAGATCTCTCAGAAGTACAGGAGTTTATAGCAGATGAAAGAAAAGCC